CTGAGAATATTCTTGGTGTTATAATAACACAATAACACATCAATAACACATGAATAACATGCAATAACACATGAATAACGCGCAATAACACATGAATAACACAGGAGGGAATATTCTCCGTGTTACTGCGCCGTTTTTCTTACTCCGCCGCGCGAGATGTCGTGGCGTGTTTTGATTGGCTACGCACTTAAAAATAACGTGCGTAGTACTGATGTAATATTTCTTCCCGCAGCAGAGATTCAATTTTGGTTCAAATAACAATATAGTAGAAATTAGGAGATTAACAAACTATATTCTAGTCCTCGGTTAAGCCCCATCAAAATTCTTAGCATATTTTCATCAGAAATTCTTAACATATTTTCAAATATCAGAAGAGCATTGTAGCTAAAACGGATGCCCATGACAAGCATAAAGCTTAGACTGCCATTTCCACAAGCACTCGGAAGAACTAAGGGAGACGAGGACAGAAAGAGCGATACCTGAGAAAAGATCCTTCTCCAATGCCTCAATTGCTGTCTTCTGCCTCTGCTCTTCCACTGACTTCTTAGCGGCCACCTCCTCAATATCTGTAACCAAAACCCCAGATCATGCAAGTAAATGATCGTTTATCAAAAGGAAACCGCAAGATTAAGAATCTAAGGTATAATGACTGGATGGATTTCTCTAACGAGAGGAGATGGAATGAAAGAGAATAGGAATCAATATCCTCGAGCGAAGAGATCGTAGAAAGTGACATCCGAAGTTTTTAAACATAGTAGTCAGAGAGTAGAAGAGAATCAAACACACCGTTCATCTGAGACCTCAAACTCCGAAGATTTTGCAAGTATTCCTCCATTTCTTTAGAGGGCAATCACACGAATTGGACAAGAAAATGGCTCCTACTTATAGGAGTTTACAGGCCTTCGACGCTGCCCGCTGTTTGGGGTAAAATTCTTCAAGCACTGTTGTTCAAGCACTGAGAAATTATTCCGCACGATACTCGCGGTCAGAATTATTTTTGTTTAAAAAAACAATAATAAAATTAGGTGGCCCACCGAAATGCATCGAGACCGTAGATCAGGTGGGTTAGCATCAATTTTTGATGTCACTGTCGGCACTATTTTTGGTGTGGGGTTTGCCCGTAAGAAGTTGTCGCTCATCGGTTTCTTGTTGTAGTCCTGTAACTGAACTAGCAAACCCCTTGCAGGTGAACGATTTTTTTTTTTTAGTATGTTGTTTATGCAAGGTTACGGACAAAATTCAGCAACAAATACCTGCCAAATTCTATGTATTTACATAAATAACACCTAAATTATGCTTTTGTAAGGTAAACGTTTAAAATTTTCATATCACATCAACATAATAATTTTTTATAGTCTAGCACACAATTTTAATATATTTATATATTT